GTAATGTTATGTCTTTATTATTGTAATGTTACGACTTTATTCTGGTAATGTTATGTCTTTATTATTGTAATGTTACGACTTTATTCTCGTAATGTTACGTCTTTATTATTGTAATGTTACGACTTTATTCTCGTAATGTTACGTCTTTATTCTCGCAATGTTACGACTTTATTCTCGCAGTGTTACAACTTTATTCTCGTAATGTTACGACTTTATTCTCGCAATGTTACGACTTTATTCTCGTAATTTTACGACTTTATTCTCGTAATTTTATGACTTTATTCTGGTAAGTTTATGGCTTTATTCTTGAAATAGAAGAGGAAAAAAATCTCTAGCCTGGCCCTAATACTCCATAATTAAGATAGCTGCATGAAGTGAAATTTCTATTCAATGAGGTTTAATTAAAATCCTATTTCTTATTAGGTCAATATACATTCATAATTTAGGAATATTACATATTCTTGACTTAATGTAGTTCAACATTACCATTTTTTAAAAATAAAATCTGAATTAGAACTGATATAAAAAAAAAAGATAAATTCTGCTGTAAAAATTAGAGCATTTTTTGTTTGTTTTCAAAAAACATTTAGGAGGTGAAAACTGGGATCCTATCTCAACACCGCTGAAGCTATCAGCTTATTGTTTTTAAATGATAAAACAGAATTTATAAAGAAAAAACATGAAATAGATCCAAAGGACCTCAGTAACCACGTCTGTTCCAGCGAATATCATCATTAGAATTTCTTTTAGTATTACGGTATGTCTTCAGTACAGGGGCCAAGACATGATTTACAGGGGCACTGGCCCCCGTTGGCCCCTGTCTATAACCGCCCATGCTTATGTTTCTACAACAATAACCCCAGTATTAAAATATATTTTTTTCTTTTAAATTATTGCTGGATGTCTTATTTTTTTCTAAATCCACAGCCAGTAAACTTTAAGGTGTAAAACTAAAAAAAAAACCTCTCAGATTAAAACAATAATTCCCATTAATCAAACTTAAATAATAATGGGAGCTGTGTTTAGTTATGAGGCCCCTCAGTCCTGCTGCCTCCTCATCACATTGGAAACAAGTTTCATGAATTCAAGCCTCTGTTGGATAATCCCATCATCAGCCTGCTCTCCACAGCCTGTAGCTCTAATGAAGCAAATAAGAAACGATTTTAATCATTAAGGCTCTAAGAGACTGTTTCTTCTGCATGTTTTCATGTAATATATTCATTAAATATTTACAGCAGCACACCAACAAAAATAGATGCTTATTTCCCACCTTTTCAAGTTTGAATGATTATTACTCTGCTTGTGAAATCTAAAAAAAAATAGAAAAAAGTTTTATTTCTTAGGCTTCCCAAATTGATAAACATTTTATTATGGCTATAGAGATTTTTTCTTTTTGTAGAAATTTCTCTTTGAATTTAAAAGGTTGCAGACCCTTGGCTTTTGATCAGTGGTCTCAGACTAAAATCCCTTTGCAGATGTAAATCAAAGGGGTAAACTACATCAATAGAAGTCCTTTAGGGTCTACATAGCTCTGCAGATGCAGAGACGCATTCAATGCAGGACATTAGCGCCACAGGACTCGCAAAGAAACTGAAACAAAATTAATGCAAACTTTTACATATTTCATATTAACCTCTTAGAAAGAGGCGCAGTTCTATATTGTTTCATTACAGTGATATAAAATCCTTGTATGCAGAAGAACATTAAACATTCTAATGTAGAAGTTTAGGTGGTGCAGCTTTAAAGATAAGCAGATCTACTATAGCACTCTAAAGCCTGTTTCACACTGAAAATAGCAGGTTAACACGTTTTTCAAACATGGATCCACTGGCTAAAAATCAGCATTTGGCTCCTTTTTTTGTCCATTTGGCAAAAAAAAAAGCCTATGTTCAACCCGTCGCTGGAAGCCGGGTGGTCTCTGTCTCCTCGCAACTGAGTGGAGACACTGTCACGCTGGGTTAAGGCTGGTTTATGCTCAGAAAACAGGTCGTCTGGGTGTGTGTTGCCCCGCCCCTTCCGCAGGCACACTGCTGCACCTCTGCCAAATTGTAGGTGACCGGTGATTGGTCAAATCTACATCTCTAGATCTCTACAGGTTTGCATCTAGTTACTGGCATATACATTTAAAAAATGTTGAATAACATCTTTAATGCACACTATTTAAGTGGGACCAAAGCAAAACTGAGGCGGCACCTCAAGCGTTCGACTTTACTGAAGTTTTGAATGTCATGGATCACACCTATGACAAAAATGTAGGTGTGTAACTCTGATCTAGGTCTGAAAAACATCCAAAAGCTCCTTCAGTCTGAGATTAGGACTAATGCACAGGCCACCATCTCTGTTCAGTGTTACTGCACCATTTTACTGTGGTATGTTCAGGGTCAGATGGGTGACCCTAAACATACCACTTAATTAGTAAGATAAGAGAGCCATTGTTTAGAAGTGGGTATCACAAAGCCCCAATTACTGCCTGGGAGAAAGTAGAAAAATAAAAGTTGTTTTTGAGCGAGGCGTTCTCTAAACCTGACCCAGTTACACCAGTTGCCTCAGGAGGAATGGGTCAAAATTCCAGCAAACTATAGTTTAAGAAAACAGTGTTGGCCTCAAGTCATACAGTTACAGATA